TCTTTTATCAAGATATTCTCAAATTCATCCTACATTTGGAGAAAAATATATTAAAATTAACATAAATTAAGTGATTTCATAATAATTCAAAATATAATTATATCAATTTTTTACTACTTAACAAGGAACATTCCACAAGGTTGATTCTCATCTTAAAAGGCAATGGTGTCGTCGTGTTGTTTTCTTGAAGATTGGCTGTGAGGTGAGTGTCCTGTCACCACTAACACTACAAGAAATATTAAAATTACCGACGGTCAAAATCCGTCGGTAATAATTTTATTATTTATTAAATATTTTACCCCCTCTCCTTTATATTCTTATTATTTATTATTAATTATTTCTTCATATTATATTTTTATAGCTTTGGATTATTATCTCGAACCTAGTACTTTAAAATTAGAAGTCGATACTCCAACCACTAAGTTACTAGAATCTTTTGATAATTATTTTTATATATTTATATATTTATATATTTATATATTTATATATTTATATATTTATATATTTATATATTTATATATTTATACATTGATACATTTATACATTGATACATTTATACATTTATATATTTATATATTTATATATTCATATATTTACATATTTATATATTTACATATTTATATATTTAAATATTCTTATATATTTAAATATTTTTATATTTTTATATTTTTATATTTTTATAGTTATATATATTTATATATATTTTTATATATTTATATAAAATTAAATATTTATTTTTTAAAATTATTTAATTTAATAAATTATTATAAATTAATCTAATTATGATTAAATTAAATTTTTAAATAAAATATATTTAATTTTTTAATTAGGTGAATAATTAAATTATATTAAGTAATTATTATATAATTTTACCGATGGATATATCCGTCGGTAACTAATTGTTAATTTACCGATGGAAATATCTGTCAATAAATAATTGTTAATTTACAGATGAATTTATCGACGGATATATCCGTCGGTAACATCAAATTCCACAAATATTTTATATCCGTCGGTAATGATTATTTTCTGACGGCTACAAATCTATCGATAAAAATTTATCGGAAATACACAATTTTCTTGTAGTGTAATCTTTCAGGTAAATATAATTATGAAACAATCATTAAACAATAATAAGATTATAAATATAAAATATTTAATAACATTCAATCGCATAACATTACACAAAAGCTTATTAAAAATTAAAATTCCATATTGATGTCCAAATTAGTTTCTTTAACATATAAATTCAAATGCTTTAAAAATATTATTGTATCGGCTAATTTTACTGGTCTAATCGCGAATTAGTCCAAAAGTCAATTCGATATTTCAAAAAATCTAGATTTTAATTTAATTGGTATACAATCGAAAAATTTATACAAAATCGAAAAATCAAGAAAATTGGATGATTTTTTCGATCAAACCAACTTTGGTAAAAAATAAAATTTAAGATTTTTTTTAAAATACAAATTTTTTATTAAGGATATTTTTTAATTTTTTTCTTCCTTTATCTCAAATGAGTCATGTCAATATTAAATAATAATTATATTATTTTACTTTCATGATTATCCATCTTTTACTATCTATTGCATTTTATATGGGTAACATTCACCATAACTTCATAACTATTTTAACAACTTTCATTACTGTTGTAATTTTTTTCTTTTTAAAAATTACTATTATTAAAAACTTATTATATTATAAAAAATATTATTTTATTAAGTTAAGTTAGATATCTCAATTAAATCTTTAAATCCTAAATTTATAACTTTTCTGATTAAGTATTAAAAACATTGGTAAATTCACAAATTTTACAACAAATTTTAAGTGTAAGTTTTTATTTATATGTAAATTAGATTTTTATCATACATAAAAATACTAATCCTTCATATCATAATATTAATTCTTCATATCATATTATCATCACAAAATGATATGCAGTCTAGTACGATAACATAGTTCAACGGGGTAAAATATACGATAAATAATAATCAAATAATTGCATCCACTAAAGTAATTAATACTAGAATCACTTAAACACTACACAAAATTTTTAATCAATTTATTAGGTGTAATTAAATCAAAATTTTAATACAGTCATTTATAATATAAATTCACACGCGCGCACTCCCCACTTTGTAGAGGTTCCAACGCATAATTGGTTTGTAATAGGAATCACCAAAATCAACCAATCCGAACTCATGGTGTGTGCATGCACATGAACAATCTCAATCCAGGTTGTCGAGGTGAGCATTCTTATATTGTGTTTAATCTTAGTATTTGATTTCATGAAATATGATTTGGAAGAGTTAGGTTTCAAGATGTTTATTACTTTGTGTGGATTAGTTATGGTTCAAGATGTGTATTTGTAAAGAATGTGCTTATATACAACAATTGTTGATTACTTTTAAATAAGTTTTGAAATTGTATTATGTATAATTGACGCTTTGTATTTTGATAAGTGATGTTTCTCTTCGGTTAAAAACTTATTAAAGACACTATTTTTCATTGCTTTGTGGAATGATATTGATATTAGAACTTGGGGAATTATATTGTTATTGTTGTGTAATAATTTAGAAGTGGACTTGAAACTTGAGAAATGTTTGAATGACAACTTGAGTAATTAAATTAAATTTGATATTGTTTAGATTTTTAGTGAACTAATGGGAGGGACCTACTCAAACCATTCATTTATGGGTGAATTTAATGTGAATGTGAGAGTTAGATATGTATATTTTTCCATATTTCTATCAAAATTTTCATAATTTAAACCTATTTCATCGAGTAAATGATTGTAAGTGGAGTATTTTCATATCAGTACATTATTATGTGGCAATTGTTGTCATATATCTCAATAAATTTTATTCCACTAAGTAGACATCATGTTGTTATATAGAAGTTTTTTAATCTAGCCTTAGTGCTGGTTATAATGGAGTTATTTAGTAGACAAATTTGTACAGTGGTAGTAGTCATTACGTGTGTAAGGTGGATTATTAAGCTTTGCATTACAAATCATGTTTAAGCATTTTTTGTACACATTTACTATAATTGGCCACTTTGTAGAAGTCATTTTATAATTAATAACATATTTATTTCAAATACATACATCACATTGGAAACTAAGCGACCTTATCACTCACAATTTGATTTAGAAAATATAATTTACACAACTAAAAATAACTTAACCACTAGGGACATGAAAAAAATGGTTACGGCAACTTAGACGTAAGGAAAATGCAAGTTACCTATGAACTAATAATTACTTTTGTGGCTAAGATTTACTCATTCCAAAATTAAAAAAAAAAACACAAATGGTCAGAATACTGCTCTTCTATAAGATGATCTTAAAAATTAAGGGATTTTAAATCTATTCGTACAAAACAAAAAAATTGACATAAATATTATGAGTCAAATATTTTTTTTATATCTTTTCATTTTTTCTTCATAAAAGAGTTAAATGAAACAAAAGTTTCATGTTCAATTTTAAATTAGAGAGGTTAAATCAAAATGATGAATCAACATCGATTATAATCCTTAATCTTTCAAATTAACAATGTGAGTTTCATTTCAGTTACCCACTTATATTATCTATTTATTCCTATTTATATCTATATTTTTTTCTTCTAAAAATTTTGTTTGCTTTCCACTTGTTTGCCCATGAAACTATTTTAAAATCATAATTGATACAAAATCTTCTTTCACTTTTCATGGCGTGTTGCTAGATCGGAACAAGTGGATAGAAACTCATTTTTTTCATCATCATCCATGTTGCCAGATGGGGAGGATTGTTATTAAAATTAAAATAAAAACTCTTACTTAACACTGAGAACCACACAAAAATACCTAAGGTGTAATAGACATATTTCTTACCTTTTGTTATATACAAGAACTAAAAATATTCAACTAGAATAGTTGCATACGTGTGTGTATATATGATCACTCTAAAATAATTGCATCCGGTTGACTAGTTTAACTTGTCAATTGTATAACACTTAAACTGAATTTAAATTATGAAATTTTGTATATTTTGAACTAGTTTAAGAACTTATAGACAAAATTATTCATAGATAAAACAACTTTATTCTACTTCTCAATTTAAGATAAGTGTGTTTTAGATGTAAATTCAACTTAGTTGTAAATTATTACAAGACACTTATATTTAGTAGATTATTAATATATAAAAAATGGTTATAAGTGTAGATATAAGTTATAAGACTTATTCCTCCCATCAACATATTAACTATATATAGCAAGTGATTATAAATGTAAATAAGGCATTATCTGAGGTGCAATAGACATATATGCCTTGGCATTAATTATACAAAACAAATAAGTTAGTTAAACTAGGCTCTTTCCTTCTTAGCTTGTGTAGTAAACAAAATAAAATTTGTGCTTTCCCTTACTCATAATAATGAGGTGCAAGTGATCACTTAGTACAACTCAAAATAAGGTGCAATTGACAACTTAGTACAACTCATACTAGGAATTAGAAGGCTTTAGTTAGTTTGTGCTTTAGTTTTCTTGAAGTTTGTTTGACAATTAAATGTTCCCTTAGATATGGATGATTAGAACTTGGAGCATCTAGGTTAACCATTTTTAATGATTTAAGGTTAAATAATTATTTGGTGGATCTTTATGAGGAGTATGGAACTACGTAATTATTTGTCAATGTCTAAGAATGTTATACAATAAATTGTTCAATTAAGGCTGCATAAGTTGTGGTGAATCACAAAAACAACATAACACATATCTAAAATTAGATGATAAATTGACCTATATTTAACCCAACTCAACGCGTTTCCAGGAAGAGATACAGTCCATGGTTTAAACCGATTCTCTTCCTTCCTTTCAGGCCTTCCATCCAACCCAAATGCCAACACCTTCTCTCTCTCACAACCCAAAACCTATAAATACCCAAACACCCAACCATCCCCGTCACACCATTCTCGTCACTCACACTCTTCACAAACACAACAACACCACCAACACGCAATGGCCCGTCACGCCTTCGTCGCCGCTCTCCTCCTAGTAGCCGTCGTGGGCGTGGCCATGGCCAGCGAAGCTCCCTCGCAGTCTCCCGAGTCAGCACCAGCCCCATCATCATCATCACCCAAGGCACCATCTTCATCACCCGACGCACCATCTTCATCACCCGACGCACCATCTTCTTCACCTGACGCTCCAACTTCATCTCCCACGGCACCGGCTTCATCTCCCAAGGCTGCACCACCCACTTCTTCATCCTCGGCACCAGCTTCATCTCCCAAGGCTTCGGCACCATCTTCATCTCCCCAGGCTTCAGCATCAGCTTCATCTCCCAAGGCTTCACCTCCCAAGGCTTCAGCACCCACTTCTTCATCCTCTCCTCCGACAGCTTCCGCTCCTGCCAAGGAGGAGCCTTCGGCCCCACCCGCCCCGGTCAGCGATGCCGACGACATGAATTTCAGTGCTCCTGCGCCCTCTCCCGCCGATGACGTTGCAGCTGAGGGGCCTGGTTCTGCCGAGGATGGCAGCAACGCCGCTGCGCTTAAAGTTTCTGCCGCCGTGGTGGCCTTCGCTGGCTTCTTCGCTTTCTAAGCCATTCAGAGAGAGACACGTGTTGTACCGTACCACCTTGTGGAAAGGTTGTGTTTGTGAAATGAAATAAAAGTTTCGGTGAATGAATGAATTAATTATCTTTCATGCCAGCTTCCTTTATAAAGATGATAACTTTTTTTTTTCTTTCAATTAAAATAAAATCAAGGTATATAACTTTCTCTGCTTATTATGAATCTCAATTAATGGAATTTTGCTGACATATTTTAGGGTTAAACAATTTTTTCCTCTAAACATGTTAAGTTTTTTGTATTTTTAATGGCTACATTTTTCACATCCATTTCTAAAAATGTGTCATGAATTTAGTAACTAACTACAACAGGAGAGTTAGCAGGTGATGCTGATGCAGCTTGTAACTGTTATTAATAACCACCAATTACATTATTTTAAGTAAGTAATTTATTTCAAACCATTAGCCCATCAAACCCACCCTGCATCGGTATGTTGATGGAAGCTTTGGAGTAAAACTTTTTAAGTTAGTTTGTTAAAGGTTTGATTATATTTTTATTCTCTGAAATTTGGGTTATTAGTTTTCTTTCAATTTGAAAAAAAGAAGAAGTTAGTTTTAGTTGTTGAATTTTTGTAAATCTGATTTTAGTATTTAAACACATTTAGCTTAAAAATAGTTTTAAACAATTCATTTTAGTCCCCCAATTTAATGTTTAGGACAAATAATATTTTAAAAAATTTTAAGGACTAAAATCTTTTTTCTAAATTTGAAAATAATTAAAATGATCCTAAATTTCAAATACATAATTAAGTTTTTATTAAATTATAAGTGTGTCGTGTAATTATCAATTAAACTATCTTACAAATGTAAATGAAGGAAATAGAAATTTTCATAAGATATTTTTATAAAATTTCGATCTTTTATTTTGAGAATATTTTTATTTAAGTTATTATAATAGTTTATTTATTAGATAGATTATTTTAATTATACTTATTTTACTTGTAATTATTACATATTTTCATATTGTATATTTATTATTAATCTTTTACTATAGCTTGCAGTATTTTTATTCAAATTTATAATAAAGTTAAGAATAATATATTTTTAAATTAACACAAGATAATTAAAATCAAGTAAAAATAGAGCTAAATACACAAATATAATATGAGTAATATTTAAAAATAATAGAAATAAAATAAATCTACCAACTATGAGTATTAATATATTAAAGTATAATTTTAAAATAGTATAATAATATTTTAAATAATATAAATGTTAAAAAAATTATATAATATAAAAATATCTAATAATAATAATAAATTCTTTATCATTGTTAATATCTTATTTTGAAATAAATTCTTTATTATTATTATTCATATTTTTGTGAAATAATATATTATTTGATTCTCATAGACAAGATTTATTATATATTTTTTAATAATTTATTTTAGAAAAAAAAAGATTTTACTACTTACATAATTTGTTTGTCACAATTCAATAAATGTAGATTTAATAACTTTAAAATGACATGATTAGTTTTAGAGAAATTAATTATTTTGTTTTAAAAGAAGACGATAATTATAAAATTATTTCTATTATCGTTCAATCATAAATGTTGTTATTGAATAATATTATAAAATTATTTTTCATTGTCCCTGCATCAATATTACTCTTAAATTTGTTAATTTTAAAGTTTAAGAATCAATTTATCGATGTAATTAAATTCACTTTGCGTATTTTCCTTTTTTTAAATATGAAGATTAAAAAACTATGTTTATTCTATATATACTATTTTCTTATGTTAACTTAATCAAGGTGCATCACAAATAAGTTTGGAAAGTGATTGGCTTTGTTGGAATGAAAGAAAATGAGATAAATACTTTTTTTATTCTTATTTAGGTAAATATAAATTAAAAAATAAATTTATAAATAGAAAAAAAAATCAAATGATAATAATTTATAATACAGTATACATATTCAATTTTATAGGACAAAAAAAATAAAACATCACATTAAAAAGTTAAATACTGTAATTTATTTTCGTAATTAGTATTTATCATTATCAAACAATACAAAAATACTTTAAAATTTATTTGCCTAATCAAAAACTTTAGAACTGAAATTGACATTCAATTTTTTTCATATTCTTATAAATAAAAAATGTAAATAATTTAAAGTGGTTTATTTCACGAATGAGAGAAGACGATTAATGAAATTTCCTTTTTATTTTTAAAATTAAAATTAATCCTTTCTTGTCGTGTATTATTTGTTTTAGGCTCACTGTTTTTTGCCTTTTTTTTTAAAAAAAAATCCACTAACTTTCCTTTAAAAAAAATAAATAAATTCAGATGTTATGATTGTTTTATCCAAAAATACACAAAGTTTTTAACACAACATTTAAGCTACAAATTAACTTTAAATTTTTGTTTAGGAAATATGACACTTCTAACAATCTACAAGCTACAAAAATTTAAAGTAATTTTTTATATCTAGTTGAGTGTGATTTTTAAACCAAGAATCAATATCATAAATAATATATTTAAAAAAATTATTGAAATAGAATCTAATTTATTTATCAAACTACATCTGTTTAATATCTATATTCAATAATTTGTCTATCTTCACTTATTCTTTTATTTTTCTGTTTCCTCGTTTAAACCTGATTATCTTCGTTCATTCTTTTTTGACATATTGCAATAATTTTATATATGATATATGTTTCATTATCCATTTGCTATCTTCATTTTTTATCTATAATCACACCATTTTTTATTAAGTGATTTGAAGATATATATTACATGTGCATTAAATTCAACTACAAGCATAATCTTCAAAATTTACACACAGCTTAATTTAGTATCAATTTGAATATAATAGGAATTAAAAACATGGTAAAAATTCATACCTCACTTGAATAGTTTTATTAAGTATATCTTTGTGCAATCATTGAAAATCATTCCCTATCTTTTTTTAACTAATAGGAAATGTATTAACATTTCTTGAAATATGAACAATAAATCTTTTCAACAATGCTTTGTGGTCATTCATTTGGTTTTCCTTATAATTCCAATTCACAATAATCCTCTTAGTAAATAAAAACCAAAGATCATTTATTAATAATTATTTTCTATTTTTTTCCTTCTTAGTTAATTTAAGATAGACATAAAAAAAATTTGTGTGTGAACTCGAAAACCATTCTTAAAAATAATTAAATTAAAATTTTAATTAATTATATAAGTACTCATGAAAAATATTAAATTATCAATTATAAGTAAGAATCAACCTATATATTACTAATTCAAGCTTATCAATAACATTAACAAGTCATAATCTTTTTATGTGGTACATGTTTTAATAGATTAATTTACACTTCGATATCCCCATTTTCTTTCTCTTCACATGGATAACAAGAAAATCAATCAACAATTCTTTATCAACTCTCTTGTTTACCATAGAGGATCATCATATATAACTTCTTAATTAACCGATATACGTAACTACTCGATACCGATGTTAAAAGTTAATTCTGTGTCAACATATATGAGTTTTTAATTATATTTGAATACTTTATATAAAATATATAAAGTAATTACAGATTAACTTTATTATACTAAATTATAAAGTCAAATTAAGAAGTGAGTTAAATTGGACTCAATTGATGATATATTTGTTACTTTTCTTTTCAAGTAAGTAAAACCTTGGAAGTAAATGTTTATCTTTGATGACACATCATCATTCATGTCATAATCAATTAAATATAATCTTGATTCTATATAGTGAAAGGTTAAAGTCTCTTCAATCATTCTAAGTATACGTCAACGGATACATCATCAATATTGAATGTGTTTCAAGCTAGCCATCTTATAATAAATGATCAATCAAATAAATTATGATTTTAAAATATATTAAAGGAAATAACATCTTCATATGTCATAATGTGATAACAACTATGCTTTGCAATTGTAAAAAAACAACATAAATCAATTAAAACATATTACATTTCTTTATGAATTTTGTTTATCATTAGTATCAAAACATGTGAACCGTATTTTTTAATCATCCAAGCATATATTATTTAATATGAATTCATTTACTAATGTTAATTGAGTAACCATTTAGAATAACTTTAATGTCTTGAGAAATATATGTTTATTTATATTTGTCAATGTATAAATAGTTGGAAAATATCTATTATTTTCATCGGGACAAAGATCAAATATAATTCAATCTTGTAAGTCTTTTTATACCTTTAAATTATCTTTTGATTTTTTTTTTATTTTTACCTTGGTTCAATAATGTAAACACCACATTATTACATACAATTTTTTTCCAACGTGCATAAAATCTAAATTGTGGTGCATTAAATTATTTACCTAATAAGGAAATTAAAGAAATATACTATTCTTTTCACCTTTATTAAGGGTCCACCTTCCCATGATGGTCTTTCACCATTCTTTTTACTTTTTTATTCTTTCCTAGTAAAATATTATTTTCTAATGTTATCAAACAATGGCAGATGAAATGGGCCATGACCACCTACAACCGAAATAAATAAATAAATAATATATATATATATATATATATATATATATATATAATTTAAAAAATATTTATAATAAATATCATACTTATTTTCTTATATAAATTTTACTTACACTTTTTTTCTTTTATCTTTATTTTTTTTTCTTCCACCTTTTCACTTTTTCACTTTAATTTTTTTTACCTATTTAGTTATTTTAATATTTTATAATACACTATTTTCATATTAAAATGTGAAACAAAATACATGTTGAGTTTTAAAGATGTTTAAAAAAAATTATAAATTCGGAGAAAAAAGAGTATAAGTGAAGAAATAAATTCTAATTTTCAAAAATTAAATTTAATTAGAAATATTGAACATGCTCTATATTATAATTAATTTTTGTATAATGGTTCCCATATCTAAAATTCCTAGTTTTACCCTTGTTAAAAAGTGGATTTCTATTTTCTACACTTTCACCAAAATGAACATGAGTTAATCTAAATGTATGTCTTACATTTAACCAATGATGATGATTTTTAAAACAAAACTTAGCTAGAATATGAGTTATGTTAAAATTACATAAAAGATAAGTGAACCTAATATGTGTGCTCCACCCATGTAAGATTTAGATACTAAGAAAATTGCTAGTAGTCCACAATATAAGTACATGTATATTAAATACTTCATTACTCAATATTTATTTATTAATGCAAGAATGATAAATTAATTAAGCTTTGATTTTAAATTTATTTGCTCAACCATTGAGAAAACCACTTAACAATTTTGAGGCAGATAATTATTTATTGAAAAGAGTATTTCATGTAACAAAGATAAAAACTATTGAACGAAATTATTAAGTTAGAATAAACTAACAAAACTAACTTTTTCACTCAAAGAAATATGATTATATCATAAATTTATTTTTAAAAAATAGTTTAATTAATTTTAAAGGTAAGATAAAAAAA